AGATTTACTGCTGCCCCTGATGTTATTTGTTAAAATATTTCAACCATAACTTGAATCATTAACTCATACAGCAGTGCAGTTTGTAAACCTGTTGAATAAAAGCAGTGCTTGCCTATTTTGTGGGGGAAATGGCACCATTGTTAGATTAATTAGACCTCCAAAGTACATTTTGAAAAACATTTTTCCTCAGAATTTCATTACAGTGCTAAGTAAAAAGTGTACATAAAGATGTGTATTGTGTTGTAGAGCACACAGAAGACAAGAGCTTTCATTACTGCATGAGCCTCTGCACTGCAGCTGCACTTTGAAACTGCCTAATTGTGCCTGATTAGGAGCCCTTCTGAGGTAAAGTGAGTGGTCATGTAGAAAAAACTGGTTTTCATGTACTTCTTTCAGGGGAGATGAAATTATTGACTGCTTTCATGTTTCATTTTCTCTATACGAACAACAAGCCAGAAATAATGTGCTGGTGTGGAAGAATTAAAGGTCAGTTTCAAATGCCAGCACCTACTGTTTAATGTAGAAAGAGATACAGGCAAAGCATTTCAAATGCTGTGAAGTGTCTGGGTTGCTGAGAAGGGGAAGGAGGCTCTTGGGCTGTGATGCTGGCTCCTACTGACAAGGAGAGTGGACCTTGATTTGAAGTCATCGGCTACTATCATGGCTGGATGCTTCGAGGCTTCTGAGTGGGAGGTAAGTTTTTTTCACAGTGAAACCCACCGAGCACTGGACAACAGCGTTTTGTGAGGAATGGTTGGGAATGGGAAACAGTCCCATTAAGCGTTCATTTATTTAGGGCAGTAGAGATTTGAGTCTTTAGCATTAACTTGGATGCGATTCCAGTTAACTGTGAGTTTCCACACGAGATCTTACATAGACCAGCAGTTGTCAAAGAATCTGGTCTATGGTGAAGTGGTTTGCAAGCTGTTCTGAGAGGTGCAAGGGAGAGGCAAAGGGCAGGGCCCAGCTGCTGCTTCCAGAAATTTCACAGGTTTTATATATTCGGTGTTTTAGCTTTAATTCACTTTTTAAAGAATAAACGTTGGAACAAATTGGAATGCTACTGAAATATTTCAATCTTTTAATGAAACTTTTTAAGGTAATATTTAAACATTTTTTGAATTTTAAAATTCTTTGGAATTAGTGCTATAATCCTAATCCTGATTGTGGGGAAATCAGTGACCACACAGCGATACCTTCTGGTTTGAAAGTAATCACCTGCTGTAAACCTGTTTTACTGTTTGGACTCTCTAATTACTTTTGCTAAGGACAGCTGGGAGAGAGTTGCGATTTCAAAGTTTAACTGCTACAAGCCGTTCATTTCCTAGGTGACTGCCTCATTGTGCGCATTTCACACGGCAGGATTAGAGATGGATGAATTTTGTAAAAGTACTCACTGACTCACAGTGCAAGTAGGAAACTGTCCCAAACCTTTTAAAATGAAAAACTCCCAAGAGAAAAACATACCAGAACCAGCTGCTTGGCAGTATTAATGCAAATCACAGGCTTCGTTTTTCTTTTGCCGCAAATGTCAGAAACACTTGGCATCTGAGTACGTTGCATTTTCCCCCCTTTTCTGAACAGCTCAACTTGGAAAGGCTGACATGTCCCTTTGGGAAAAATCTTTCCTTATAAATTGGTTTGTTTCTTTGCTTGTTTTGGGAACCGGGGATCGAACTCAGGTCTTTGCACTTGCGAGGCCGGCAGAGGCACCACTAAGCTAAATCCCCAGCTGCTTTTCCTTATAAATTGGGATATATGCATGCAAAACTGTAGGAAGTGTTTACAATTTGCTTTGATAGGGCAGCAGTTTATTGAATAGAGTGAAATTATTCTTTTTTTCCATTTTCCTCCCTGTTTGTACATCACAGGCACCCAAATTACTGAAAGCAACTTTGAGGCACAAAACCAGCCAACGCCTTTAGGCTTCCAAAAGTCAAGCATGTCCCATCCTTTACTCCAAGGGACCCATTTGTGAGAGCCTTTGTTCTGAATAAAAGCAGTAATTTTCCACAGATTATGTATACTGAAATCTTAAGGGAGGAAGAGGAGTACAGGGAAGGGGAAGAAAAGAAGGAAAAGGAATAATTGCTCCAGGATCTTTACCTTTGTGCACATTTGTTCACATGTGAACAGGACATGCAGAGTCTTAAATGAGGTACTTTGTTTGAATTTTTTCAATGTCTGCAAAGAAGGACGCAGGACCTTGAGACAACAAAATACGGTGCTATTGGTGGTCATCTGCCTCCATCTTGATAACAAAAATGTGATTCATGAAATTCTTGCTAGAGCTCACCCTTTCCATCTGTCTTTAAATGGCGAGCAACAATGCTGACTTTATGTGATTATATTTGTTTCTGTAGCAAAAAGCAGATACCAAAATCAGGCTTCTCATTTTTCTTAAAAATGCTTTCATTTAGCAATAACTAAAATACAGTAAACACAAGGACGGAATAAGGACAATCTAGGTATTATCTGGGCCAGACTGTACGGAAGAGGCCTGAGTCATTATTTTTGAACAATTCAGAACATACACCTTCAGAAATAGTCTCTGCTGTTCCAGCCAGTCAGTCCTCTTCCTGCTAACTGGAATTGCAGAATGTGTTGTGTAGGTCCAAAGGGCTGATCCCAGGGCACATGTATATTCCAGTGCAAATGCTCCTCAGAAACCAAACTCTTCCCACATGTGCAGCCTACCCTGGGCCACATCCCTTCTCATCTTAAGGGCTTCTCTTATTCAATTAACCCTTTCTTCCTGAGTCATTAATTTCTTTCCCTTCATTGGCTCAATTACCAAAGTGTCCAAGTATGTTTGGTCTCTCAGCACTGAAGACTAAAACAAGCCCTGACATAATACTTGCTTATAACTACTCACTTCCCTTTCTCCCTTCACAGTAAAAATAAAGCAGAAGTAGTTGCACATACATTTATACAGTGGACCCCTGACTTAATCCGTTCCAGAGGGCTGGTTGTAACTCAAGTTGGTTGTAAGTCAGTACAGCTTAGATATTGTTTACCTGGGTTCACGCTATAGAAACAAGAGGCAGAGGAATCTTCCATTAACCTAATGAACCAAGTTCCTATGAAGGTCCTTGAAGGTCCACTGTACTTTTTCTCTTCTATTCACTCTTTAATCTGCACCACTTGGCTCTGATGCTCCTTTTTCCAAAGAAGGTGATCTTGACAAGGTCATTAAGACCTTGCTGTCGAGGCCAGGGGTTATGAAACTTCATTTTACTGGTTCCCTTGGTAGAGTTTCGACACAGCTGACCACTCCTCTTGATCAGTGCTCATAATGCTGCATTTGCCTCTAACTTGCATTTCCTGCTAATGTGGATTGCCTTTTCTCTAGCTGTTTGGGTGATTCTTCATCTCCCATTTTTGTCCATGTGTGCATGTACTACAGGACTCAATTCTTGGCCTTTTTTTCTATATACTTTTGCTGGATGATCTTATCTGTTTGCACTGTTTTACATACACTATGCAAGGCCAAACACCAATTTTGTAACTTTACTTCTGACAGCTCCTGTGATTTTCTTTCACATATGCAGCCACTCACTTGGCATCACCACATGATTTTTTTTCCTCTCATACCAGGAATTGATTTCAGTATCTTGCACATGCTAGTCTCTACCAGCAAGCTATAGCCCTATCCCTTTTTATTTTGAGGCAAATTCTTGCTAAGCTGTCCAGGCACGCCTTGAATTTGTGATCCTCCTGCTTCAGCCTCCCAAGTAGCTGGGATTATAGGTATGTGCCTTATGTCTGGCTCCACATAGATATTTTAATAGACATCTAAATTTTATTCCCTAGCCAAATGCCCTTCTCTTGAACTCTTCCCATTCTCAGCGAATACCACCAGAGTTCATCTAGTTGTTAAAACCAAAGCCCCGAGTTATCTTTAAAATTTCTCTTTCCCTTTTACCCTGCTCCATCTCTGGTCCATCAGTAAGTCACACCAGCTCTGTCTTCAGTCTATATCTTTACTCAGTTTATCAGTGTATCTATCTCCACCTCCAGCAGTGCTAGTGTCTCATCTGCACTATGGCAGTAGACCCTTGCGAGGTCTCATCGTTCCCATTCTTGCCTACATAATGCACTCTACATATAGTAGGCATAGTCAAAAAGTAAAATGAAACAAGGAAAAATACATCATTGTTCTCTTTAAAGTCCATCAATATTCTCACATTGTATTGGCAACAAATTAAAACCCCTGCCATTGTTTACATGGCTGTGTGCACACTAACTTGTTGTCTACTTCCGGCTCCCTCTGCTCTATGCTTTCTGGCCTTGATGCTCCCTTGACACCTTTTCCGCCTTGGGGCCTTTGCATTTGTTCTTTGGCAACATTTTCCCACAGCTCCACCTCCTCTGGCCCTTTGCATTCATAAGCACCTGTCATAGTTCTTCAGAGAGATGTTCTTACTCTCCATCCTGGCATCTCGGATCAAAACACTTTCCTTCTAGGCACTTACTGCTATCCCAAACTGTCTTATTTGTTGGCAAGCACTGTGTCTTTCAAAGACAGAATGGAAGCTCCTTGCAGGCAGAAACCTACTCTTGTCTTTCCCTGTTGATGACTGGCCCAGTGAAGTACCCAGCCAGTGTGTAAGAACCCACCAAGTGGTCACTGCATAACTAATATGTTCAACGGCAATTTTTAGATCTGGAGAAGGGGAACATGTTACTTCTCTCCTGTGAACCTAGCAAGTTTTTTAAAAACAGCCTTGCTTTCTTGACATGACATAAGCTCATTGAATATATACATGGGCAAGCCAAATGCATGGCTAATTTAAAAGCAAAAAGCTTTAAGTCATGGTAGTAAAGTTCTCCCTTTAATAATTAACTCGTATTTTTTAAAGTTGATTCCATTTTTATAAAACTATTGATAAAGATGGAAGATCTGCTATCCATGTACTCTTACCCCATGCAGAAGATCACAGACAACACATTGTGTAGGAGGATAAAACATTTATTTAAATGAAAACACTAACCTTTATTTTCATCATGCTGAAGTGTGTGCTTACAAACAATTTCCAATAAAACACTATATATAATAAGCAAAAAATAAGTTAGTACATTGTAAACTTACGTACAATTCCATCAATTAACAGGTTTAAGAACAAACAGCCATTTAAGACTTGGACTACATTTAGTAAAAAACTGCCAACACTCAAACCTTATCAACCCCAAATAAACACTAAAGAGCTATTCAAGACTTCTTCGAACCAGTTACACAAGTACATTTTTATTTTTGGTTACAGTCCCCTGCTATGCACAAGACCATTGGAATGCTGGAACAATTACACATTTTAAAACGGCACAAAGCAAAGCAAGGAGGTAACATGCCAGCCTTGGAGAAGCTGTCTTGAAAGTGCAAACTGCATTTTCTCTTCCTGAACCACTAGGATAAGAACGGGTACCTCAGACGACACGGCAGGGTCACGAGCATGCTTTCTATACCACACCGGTGGGACATTAACTGGGACCAGGTCTCCATGCCTTTGAAGATACCTCCGGTTTTAAACAGTGAACAGGCTTCAACTAACTATAGTGCAAATCCGACACTGAGGAGCAAAACGACAGCTAAGAGACTGCCACAGATCGGCCTGCTGTTTCTCTACCTGGCACAACGCCACAGGACAAATTGGCACACGGGAACCACTTGGATTTAGGTTTTGATGTGGAAGGCGGTGCGGCGGAGAGAATGCAGGGCGACCACACAACAGCCCCGGAGCAAAGCTCCGATGTTGTAGACAGGATCTGTTCCCCCTCTCTGAGTACTGAATGCCCACAAAACAGTGGGCACCACCGGGGCACCCACAGCCAGAAGATCCACCAGGAAATTGCTGCTCCAGTACTGCCTCGCGACAGTCCCCTGAGAGAGTGGGAGGGCACCATCCAACCTTTCTTCTGCAGGGTAGGAAGCAAAATCCAGCTCTCTCATGAGGCGGCTTGCAGGAGCTTCTGCAGCCCTGTTGCTGTAGGGGGTCTCCACGGGAGACAGAACAAGGGCTGAGTTCGGGTTTCTCGGAGTTAAATCGAGCATTAAGGCAGAGATGGACTCTGGGAAGCTCTCGCTGGAGTCAGCCCCCGATTCCTCGGGGGAGGCTGAGCTCGAGGGACAGCAGTCCCGGAGCTTGAGCACATTCTGAACGAGCTCTGAGACGGCAGGGCTGAAGGGCAGCACATCGGTCTGCACGGCCCGCTCCACCGCCACAGGAAGGAGCTTCAGAACTGGGGCCTCGGGGGGAGAAGGGACCAGCTCCAGTTCTCCAGACTCTGTGGTGGTGGCTGTCACCACGTCATCGAGTAAATCTGCACCATCAGACGCGCTGTCGCCCACCAGCAGCTCACTGTCAGCCCCCTCCTCTGTGACCTGCTCATCCAGAGACGACCCGTGTATCATCTTGCCGAAAGGAGTGCTGAGAGGTAAGCTTTTCTTCGGGGAATCACATGGAAACTCTAGACACAGCTCATCCCTCAGGGAGCCGCTATGGGCCATCTCCATGCTCTGGAGCAGGGACTCCAGCTTCTTGTTCTGGATGTTGATGTCCACAAAGTATTTCTGAATGCCTTTGTCTTTGTCCGCCAAGTTGCTCCTCATGGTCTCAATGACCTGTTTGAGCTGTTTAATCTCCTTCCTGGCTTCCTTGAGTGCCAACTGGGCCTCCACCCGGTGGCACTCTTCTTCGATCCAGTCTTCTCTCATCCGGGCCAGCTGGGTCTTGAGCTCCACGATCTCTGTTTCCCTGAGGCGAGGCAAGCACAGTGAGGAATGAGGTCAACCCTGGACCAGGCAGCAAGCAGTTGGGACACAGTCCCGGAGCCCCGGCTCTTCCTCCTGACGTGCACACATTAAATCAGTTCGGGAATTTTTTTCTTTGGCAGGTATTAGCTGTGAACATTCCCCTTTAATTGTAAAATAGCTAAAGTAGTAATAGTAACCAGAATCAGAATTGAAATAGCTACCATTATTTTTTCGTTTCTTTTTGAGTACTCACGATGTGTCAGGCATTGTACTAAGTACTTCAAAAGCATCCTCCTGTAGTTGGTGCTTAACAGAAACTTTGTTATTAGAATCCTTTAGCCTGCTTTTATCTGCATTGCCTACAAACACCTACATACAGTTGTGTAGGAAAAGTCCATTTTACTTTTAATAAAGACACAAGCTGAAATGATAACTGTTAGCACTGTACAACTGTTTTGATCATACTCCAATGATGACTGAATTTTTAAAATTATAAAAAGTTGCTTATTCTATCTCCTCTCAGGTGAGAGGATAATGAATCTAGTCTACACTGAGAAGAAGCTATCCTACTCTTTTTAAGATCCTTCCTGGGAACCTGTTTCAAAGTCTTTGCCAAGGCAGTCGTAACTACATAAAATTTCTTCACAGCCTCATGTTATTCGTGGCTATGAAGAGGAGGTTGTCAGAATCCTCATACAAAGGAAGTGCGGCTAGCACTGTGTATTTAGGCTTCCATATTTTCTCAAGTTTTTCTGCTTTTTTCATACTTCCTCCTTCCATAGGGTGCAACTCTTTCCACAAACTCTTTAAATCATAAAACAAACATTTCCAGAAAGTGGAGTGTGACTCACCCCAGAAATGAGTTTTACTCTCAAGTCTGTTTCAGTCAAGTGAAGAATCAGATGAACGGGGACAAAAAAAATACCTCTTCTCATAGTCTGTGCTGTTACCTGCCCAACATTCCCTCAGCCCCTGTACTGGGATTGAACCTAGGGCCTTCACACTGAGTTACATCCCTTTTTAAATTTCTTGAGAAGAGATGTTGTTGCTAAGTTCCCTGGGCTGCATCTCAATCTTGAGATCCTCCAGCTTCAAGTACTCAGAGTAGGGATAATAGGCTTGTGCCACTTTCAGCAGAAGTCAGTGGCTCTCCACATACTTACCACAGCAGAGGAGGCAGTTGGGGTCAGTGAAGTTCCCAGGTGCTGAATCAGATCCCAGGCTCCCAGAGGATGCAACCACTGTCCTTACCCTGAGCTCACAGCTACTCTGGTTAGAGCTCTGCTATTCTGTCCCAAAATGTTCTCGGGGAAGCCAGCAAGCAGAAAAACTGGCTTGTCCCCAAGATGACAAAGGCCTTTTCTTTCTGAGATAAGATCTTTTAAGTATGGGCTAGTTTACTATTATTTTTAGCTTTAATTCTTGGCCAAGAAAAATCAACCTCTTCCTTCAGCACAGAAATAGCTTACAGGAATCACAGTGTACACAGATAGCTGCTCTCCTGTAGCGATAAACAGGGCTTGATGGGGGCCCATTCACTGGAAGTATGGGATTGTTCCTGCAGATGCCTGTGCCATTTAAAAATAGTAGCATACACACCCAATTCTTCATTCAAAGCTGTACACACCCAGAGAAAACCAAGGGTCCCACTAACCTCCTAGGTCCCCTGAACTCCTGAAACAGCCATGTCACAAACACCTATGAAATGGCTCTGTTCAGAGACTAACTTAAGAAATCTGACATAAAGTTTTAAAAATTCACTTTTTCTTTACTATTTTTTCCTCCATAGTTTGGGTTTCTGTTTCATTTTGTGGAAAAAAGAAATTGCTTCCTTCCATACTGCACAGGAAAAGCATAATCACCTTTCATGAAGCCGGCGCTCGGACTCCTTCAGTTTGGTCTTCAGGTGTCTCACGGTAACCTCCTTCTGCTGCAGGGGAGTCAAATACTGTTCTGGATTTGGGGGTTTGACACCATGATTTTCTCCACAGGACATGTACCTTCCAGACCGCCTGAAACAAGCCACATACAGAGGTATTTATTCCTGCTTCCTTTTCTTTATTAAGAAAACACTGCTACAGGCTGAACGTCTACATTCCTCCACAATTCATATGTTGGAATCCCAATACCCCAATTTGATGGTATTTAAAGGATGGGTCTTTGGGATGCAATCAGTCATGACAGTAGAGCCCTCATGAATGGAATCTGGGCTTCATAAGAGACCTCAGGGAGCCCTCTACCTCTCTGCCTTGTGAAGATGTTGGCAATCTACAACCCAAAGGAGAGCCTCCCACACCCTAGGCTGGCTCCCTGACCTCAGACTTCCAGTCTCCAGCGCTGTGAGAAAAATGAGTCACCCATCTAGGGTGTTTGTCATAGCAGCCCGCAAAGACACACAGCTGACAGCTGGAGAAGAAGTGGCAGTCATGCGTAGCGATCCAAAACCTCAGCAACAGATGGGCTTACTTCAGAAGGCAGACTAATACACCTGCCAGTCCCTTAGAAGATTGTGCAGTGCAGTGCGTGTGTGAGGGGAGGGGACAGCAGAGAGGCAGGACTGTCTGCGGCTGAGGAACGACCTCACGGAATCATGCACAGTTCAGAGTGGCATGCTCTGTAGTAAAGGACAAAGGGTGGGGGGCGGGAGGAAGGGGACAAGATGACCTAACTTTCCACACAATGTGCCACTCGCCTACCAATCTGCTCATCATCAGCTGAATCCAAATTGTTCTGAGACCAGTATCTGGTTGTGGGAACTGTTATGGAAAGTTCCTGCTTCTGAAGATGGTGGGACTACTGCACTCTCAGGAACCAGCATGCTTTGTAAGAGAGGGGCTTGGCGTTCTGCAGAAACGGCCTCAGCTGGATGCCTGGCCACGAGCGAGCGGGGCATCCTTGCTGGGAGACAGCTGAGTAATGAGGACAGGGACGCCCAGGAGGAGCAGGGCAGCGGCTTCTTCCCTGCCTGGACCCAGCCCAAGCCACTGCTGCCCTGGCCCACGCCTGCACTCCCTTCGAGGTGGTCAAGGTGGCCAGGTCCCTCCCCAGTCTGCCCTGCTGTCAGGCTCAGGCCCCTCCAGAAGTGCAGTTCTTGCTCCTCCCGCCCCCCATGCCATTAACTCCTCACTTGCCCACAACAGCCAGCCTGACTGGACCCCTTCTCACCTATACAGTCACATAGCAAGGGCTACCTGTGGGATAATTTTAATTTACTTCTGTCATTCACACTTTTCTTCTCTGGGCAGTGAGCACAGGGCCATTTTTCTTGACTGCTGCATTCCCAGTGCTTCACACAGTACTTTTACTCAGTAAACATTTGGTGTCTGAGTGAACGAGCTATCACGTGTGACTCCTCCCTGGGATGAGGAAATGGGTCCATCCCTCCTCCTGCCACTAAACCGTCTTCCGTCCCTGTGCAGTAACAGCTGAACCTTGTTAGAAACTGTGGTTTGTGCTCTTTTTGCAGCAGCCCTTGAAGGATTAGCTGAGTGTAGGAAAGGAAGAGAAGTACCTTCTTACAGAGTAAGGCAGGAAGTCAAGAGCTGTATATATATTTTTTTCTTTTTTTTTAAAGAAAGTCTTCCTCTGTGGGACAATGCAAGCAGCAAGAGTGAAGAGGGGAACAGTCTCACCTCATGACTGGGCTGCAGTCGCTTCCTTTGTAGGAGCCTGAGTTGCTACTACTCGGGGATGAAAGGGCATAACTGGGGTGGATGTTAACGGGACTCAGCTGATTCCTGCACAGCATGGACAGAAGGTCCTTCTCCCGAGGGGATGGTGGGCTGCTGACAGCCTTGTGCGACGAAGCTCCGTTACTCCGTCCATGGGGACCTCGACTGGAGGAAGAGCACGAATGTTAGGATCCTTGTGGCTGGAAACGTCCAAGTGCCAGTGTCTTCTGTCCCTTCCTAGTGATAGCTATGGCTTAGGAAATCCAATTCTTAGACATGAAAGGAGCAGGCTAATTACTGATACACACTGCTGTTGTGAGGAGCTCATTTCTCACCTGCGTGCTAATTTCTCCCCTTGTATCATGAGCACAAGCGAGCTCTCCCTCTCTGTTGTTCTTGCAGATAGTTTCTGACCATAAAGCTTGTTTTGGGTTCAAGCCAACTGCCTCTTAAGCATACTCACAAAACAAAATATTGATTTGGCTTGAGTTCATTTTGGAGGTGGTTTTTGTTCTAATCTACCATCTTCGGTTGAGGAATATTTGGGTTTGGTTCTCGTGGGGGTAAGAAAATAAAAGTGACTCACTAGTGGGATGGGGGCTATCCATGAAAGAAAAAAAAACAGGACAGATAATTCTGACCCCTAATATTTTCTTTCCATCCTCAATGACTTAACACAACCTTTCCCATTTGAGTACTGAAATGTTGTCATGGCCCCTATCGTACCCTGCCCTCTTGAGTTGCCCCTCCAGCAGGAGGCTGTGTGGCCACACAGTCCTTTCTAAGAAGAAATTTGAATGCTGCCCTCCTCAAAGCCCTTCAGTGCTTTCCCACTGCCTCCAGAAGGAAGGCCAGGCTCCTCAGGGTGGCTTCCGACACACCCTCCACCACTCCTACTCTCACACGCCAGCCTTCCCAGGGCGGAATTTCCTGGAGGATCATCTTTATGTTCTTGAACTTCGAATTTCCTCCGTTTAAAACATTCTCCTACACCCTTTCCTAAGACCCAGGACACCTCCTACTCCAAGACTGATGGAAAGCTGTTTCCAGCAACCTTCTCCGAATTCTTCCTTCACTATGCCAGTGTAGGTGCTGCTCCGCGGTGCTTCCTGATACTCTGTAAACTTCCGAAATGGGACTGGTTGCAAGCATCTCCACTGCATTCTTGCTAGACTGGAGTATCCTTGAAGGCAAGGACACAGCCCATTGTTTACATCTCCATCATTTTGTGGCACATCGTAGGTGCTCCTTGAATAACGGCTAAATAGACAGACTGTGTTTAAGCCCAGGCACCGTCACTAGAAACTTAGGTAAGCCACTTCATACATACACACACACACACACACACACACACACACACACACACACACGCCTTCCTGTTCCAATTGATGTGAAAATAAAAGGGCATAGAGTTTGGACTTTCCTGTTAATCTGGTTCTAGAGATCTGATACCCCTTAGGGCTGAGAAGCACCTTGAAAACGTTGAATATCTAAATAGGATAAGACTCCTGTCGAGAATATTATTTGGTGGCATTAGTAGAAAATAAAGAGGAAGAAGATTCCATTCAGATGGCCATATTTTTTGACAATCCCTTCTATTTGCAGTTTTAATTATGGCTCCATCCAAATGACACATTTCAGTAAGAAATATGTGTAAATGTAAAAGTTAGTGTATCTGTATGGGTACATTTGGCTCCCAAACCATAATTATTTAAAATTAAATATAATTTCAAATGGTTGTCAACCTAGCAAATCACATAAAAAATGAAACCACCAAATTTTAAAGTTTTTAAAAAAGTTCTTTCCTCTTGAAATCATCCAAGTGGACTCGCTCTCCCCGAGAGAGGACACTTTATATGGAACAGATGTGCTGATGGCTTTGTGACAAACCAACTTCAGCCGCCCAGGGGTGGGAAGACCTTCACAAGTAGCTGAAAGGAACATGTACTCTGGCACAGACTGTCTTCTCCGTGCTTATTTCTCAGCGTATTTCTTCCTGTGACTGGGAGGGATGTGGAGGATTAACCCTTACAAGTTAGGAAAAAACATAAAAACCTATCCTATACTTTGACCCCAAAACTTCTATGCTGTTAACCTTTGCTGACGACGTTCTGTGAACCTGGTGCTGCTGTTCTAGACATTTTAGAAATACTTTCATTTCACACGACTGTCGTCCTACAGGGCAGGTACAGTTCATACTTTGCACACAAAGTAACTGAGGTTCAGGAAAGAGAAATCGTCCAAGGATACACAGTCAAGCTGGGATTCAAATCTAGATCTCTCAACTCTCTCTGCAGAATTATCTCCCATTTTACATAGATGGAAAACATGGCTTTGGACTGGTGAACAGATAGGTTCCGGCTATGTATGTGGTTATTACCCTAGAATTCACCACCGACATTCGTCGTGCAAAGAAGCGCTATTGTTACGGGTGGAACCATGAACCCCTCTGCGCCAGGTTCATGTGTTGAAGCCTTAACCCCCAGGACTTCAGAATGCGACTACACGTGGAGACAGGGCCTTTAAAAGAAGGGAATGGAATTGATAGGAGAAAATGAAAAATAATGGAAACAAAGTCTGTAGAAAGGGAGGCAGAGAGGGGTAGAAGGGAGGGTAGGGGAATGGGGAAAAAAATGAGAACTGAGGTTGATTATGAAAAGGTACAAATTTCCAGCAATGAATGTCATGATACTGTATACATCAAATGTACCGATAAAATTATTTTAACAAATAAATAAAACATAAAGATGCAGTTAAGTTAAAATGAGGCAGTTACAGTGGGCCTTTATTCAGGTTAACTGGTCTCCTCATAAAAGAGAATTTGAATACAGACATGGGCAGAGGGAGACCCAGCAACGTGGAGCACAGGGAGAAGGCGGCCATCTACAAGCCAAGGAGCGAGGCCCCAGAGGAATCAACTCGCCAGCACCTTCACCTTAGATTTCCAGTCCTCAAAGCTGTATGTGATCTGCTCTGTGACCCTGTTACACTGGTCCAGCAGATGAATACCATCATCATAATCATCATCGCCGCACCACCTCTGCAGGAGCCACATGTCTATTTTCTTATTCCTACAGCTACTGACAAAACATAAACACCTCTACTGAGCCTTTCACGAAGTCCTGGATCCCTTGTCAAGCAATCACGCTAACCCAGTGAGAACCACCATTATGAGCCCATTTCTACAGCAATGGTCAGCATGCCAAGCCCAAGTCTGTCCGGGTCCAAACTCCACGGTCCCTCCTACCCACTTTTATCTACTCTGAACAGATTAGTGTGTGTTTTAGTTTAAGGAGGAGGATTCCTTAGAAATAGCGTAAGATGAGATCATCTGTAAAGTCACCTGTCACAAATAATTCTCACCAGCTCCACCTGCTCCTCCTGTTTCTAGCTCGCTCACCAAATGTTCCCGCTAGCCTTCCTCTGCCACCGGAACAACCAACCAACTACAGAGATCCCAGGAGTTTGGCACGGGCACCCAGTCCGCCTAACAGAGCTGCCCTCAACACAGGTTCTGGTGGATCACATGAAATGCCTGGGCTTTTCCATCCCTGAAATCTACTGATGGCATTCTATGCATGGGTCAGAAAAGTGAGGAGTCAATTTCAACTTTCCAACTATTAACTGTTGTTAAGCCTTTGATTATTGCTGCTTGGGCTACAGTAGTTTTTGGCATAAGCATTTTTTTGTTTTGTTTTGCACACAGTCGTATTCACTTATTTTGTATGTAACATACCAATTTTGATCACTTAAAGAAACCCTGAATTTCAGACTTCAACATTTTCTCTAACTCCTATATTACTGACCTAACCTAGGAATTTAACTGTAAACCCAAATTCCTTTGCAATGCTTAATACAAGTATTTTCTTCTTTTGTGGATATGTTCTTCTGTTCTTTGTATCATGAGTATGTGCTAATTTCTTGAATGACTTAGATAAGAGCAAGTCACGTGTGATTTCCACCGAGAATGTTTATTTTCATGCCCTTTGATCTCAGAGGCATTTTATTTTCAAAATAGAAGGGACTTGCGAGTATAGAAATTGTGCTTTTCACTGTGGGTTTCACTCTTTTCGTACAGGTTTGTCTGGCTTCAGTTTTAACTGTAAAACTCAGGTCCCTCTGTAAACATGAGCCAGACCCTCTGATCTCCAAGACAAACAGGAAAGTTTTCCCTGCCGAGTCATGGAAATGCCAGCTTCTAGAAAGTACACATCCTTTCTCCAGGGAGGGATCTTGAAATTCAGTCTAACCCTGTTTTACAAATTTGGACCTCGCAGCCCCGGACAGTCAGGTGACTCACGAAGGTGAGAAGACAGAGTCCCCAGGAGGGTGTGCTCACTCTACCCTTCATTTTGGTCCCTGCTGGGTGCCTCCATCATCACCGGGGACTCCTGGGACTCATTCTTGATATCCTTTTCCCTGCGTGGTTTTTAACACAGTTATAGTATTAATCTGTTTGCTGTCTTTCTTGCCCTATCAAAATGAATATAGTTTTCTTGGAGTTTTGTTTTCTGCCTTATCTTTAAACATTGCCTCAACAAGTATGCAAATAAATACTGCTGCAGGTGGAGAATCCTGGGGCTTATCCCCAATGCCCCTCAATCCCAATTCAAATAACATCAGCGGTGAGCATCTGATTATGCTCACTGTGCTCCAAGCCCTGACCTAATTAGAACCCCGCCCCCCAGAAAGGCACACCTACAGCTTTACTTTACAAATAAGGAACTGAGGCGTGGGGAATGTTGCGCCTCCTGCTCAGGCCACGCCGCCTGTAGATGGTGGTGTTGTCACTCACACCAGGGCGGCGTAGCTCCAGAGCCTAGAGGCTGAGCTACCTGGCTGCCTTTTGCAGTGGTGGCCACCCATGCCCGGGCACTTTACACTCTGTCCCCTCCCCCCCCAGCGGTCAGGGGTGTTGCTCGGTGCACACAGATAAGAAAGGAGCCAGCTGGAGACAGTGGGAGTCAGAGGCTTCAGAGGGAGGAGGCACCAGATTCTTGAAGAAGAGGAGAGCGAGCGTGGGAGAGACCAGCTTAACGCCCAGGTGAAGAGAGAAGAGCCAGGCGGAGAAAGGGAGAGGCGAGGGTGGACACACAGCCAAGGCCTGGGGGGAGAGAGCTATGGGGACAAAACAGGCTGAGCCACGTGACCACAGCCGGTGCGGTGGAAAAGGACCAACCTCACGTCACTGTAAAATACAAAACAAAAAGCTTCGCTGTACAATAACGCAATACAAATGGACAGTAATCCAGGTGGCTGTGCCGGAACCTAAACCACAGGTAAGTCACAGAACAAAGCCTCACACTACACAACAGGACACAGCGCCTACTTGCGTGAGAAAGCCGAGCGCTTGTTTCCGGCTGTAGACATATGGATCTCTGGAGCTGAGATGCTGCCGGTGCTGCTCGAGGAGCTGAAATCAGCCTCACTACCTGAAAGACAAGGAAGACAAAAACATGAAGGGAAAGAACCCAAGAACACGCCGGCCAGGCCTCTGCCCTGAGGTCCCCGCTCCCCGCTGCACACCCTCACTCGGCCCAGGTTCCTGAGCTCTTAGTATTTTCCTCGGAGCAGAAAGGAGGTGGCGCAAGCACAGGGCTTCATTTCATAAACACAGGCTGGGGCCCAGTCGCACTGGTTGCACACAGATGCCAGGCTCTGGCAGACAGGGGCCAAGCTGGGCAAGCAGCGCTGCCTCCCTTGGGTCGGCTCTCACTGGACAGGGTGCCAGCCCAAAGCATAAGTGACGGGAAATGTGTACTTGGCCATTCAAAAGCAGTTTTTCAGAGAGAGTTTATCTTTGGGCTTCTGCAGGCAGCTAGTCATAGCTGAGTTTGGCACTGCAGGCCTGGAGATAGTCAATAGTTAGAAGCTGCCAGGAGGGAAGTCTGGGCGCCAGAAGCTGCTTCCACTCACACTGTTTGATTACAGATCACTTTCTCCGACTGCACATTCAGTTTTTCAATAAAGAATATGGGAAAATTTGACAGGAAATTATTTTTTCAAGCAGAATGGCAGGGATGAGACCTGTGACTTACACTGACATTTGGAATCTTGCTTAGCTTTTGACAGAGATTGTTTAATACTTCACAAAGCCAACATGACATGGTGAGTGCAGATAAGAGCTGGATATGTGATTATAATACTAGTTCATTCTGATAAAAAGTGTATAGTTCTGAAAGATCAATAATGGAAATATTTCCAGAGTTTGCCGGGGGAAGAGGCAAGAGGCAATAAAGGCAAGGAGTAAAACAGGACCTTTAAAATGAAAGATGTGCTTTTAGAAAATAAATCTAGGCACACACTTTTGTTTGACCTTGTTAATTAACTACAACATAATTTGTTATCTTCTGTTCTACAACCAGAGGCAGCTCCCATTTCTGAGCCTAGGGAAGTATAAATAACCTAAATCCTTGAGTTTCTTACAGTGAACATTAATTATAATAACAGCTATTTGTTGAGTGCCTACTAGATCCTAGTTTCTATATCATTTCATCTCAACAGCTTTGTAAGGTAGACACGAATCTTACTCCTGTACTATTGAGAAAACAAGCTGATTTGCCGCAGGCTGGTGTGTGATGAACGCTGTGCAGGAACGGATCCTCAGGCGCTTCTATGACACCGTGCTCTGCCCTCCAGAAGGCAGGGGGAGGGACTCGGGGTCAGAGAGGTTCCTGAATCAACTACACAGCGCCAGCTCCCCGGCATGACCTGAGGGGCCCCAGGTACAAGGGGCCAGACCAGACAACAGATCCACTCTCGAGTGGGCTTTCTTAGTTCTGCTGAAAAGGAAGCTGAGCCATGGCAAAGCAGAGAGAAAAATATCTCCTTCAGCATCCATGAAGTCAATATCTTCGGGGAATGACAATGAGAGGGACCCTCAGCCAGATGACAGTGGTGACCCCCAGCTCCCAGGGGAACTGGGGGACCGCTAGGAAGGTGATTCGTCAGGACCCGGACTTGGGTGCGGGGACTTCATCTCATGATGTAATGAACTCCCAGAGCCCCATGAACTTAATGAGTTGCCTCTGAGTAATGCGCTGGCTGAGCTGTGGTATTTTACAGGGTGATGGATGGTGCCAACCAGCAACAAGCGATTTCTGACAGCCTAATTCAACCAGCTTTGTCTGCTAGCAAGTTATCAAGTTACTTATTAAATAATATGGGCAACTTTCAAAAATATATCCTGTCATTGCAGCTACCAGTTTTAAAATATTATTTTCTAGTGTGAAATTATTCCTTAAAAACACCCAGTTTTCATTCCTTAAAAGACACAAAAATCCGTGAATTCTAATTTAATCGTCTGCAGAAAAGCAGAAATTCTAGAACAGGACAGACAATAGCTGAAAATGTGCTATTACCTCTGGATGCCTTTGATCTGTAATAACTATGTTTCCTGAGCTCAAGGGATAACTTTGTTCTATAATTTATTGCTACTGGGACTCAATTCATTGACTTAGGTATTTAAGGGGTCTGAGGTCACGTCATTTGAGTACTTGGCTGTCTTATTTTCTGCACATCTGAAATATATGAGAAACACATTCGGGGTACCTCACAGCTGTATTCCGAACTGTGTGAATCATTTGGTAGTAAAAAAAAAAGGTGTACGCAACTTCACAACTACTTTAGCTTGATTTTAAAAAAATATGACTATTTGTAGTTTGATGGATACGACGAGAAAAGTCAATGAGCTCTTTTGAAAGGTACACAGTGTCTGTCATTTTGGTTGTTGCTGGGATGAAATATTCTACATCTGCAACTTAAAGGGAAGGTGTATAAAAGGGCACAGTCAAGGAGAGCTGCTGATGGCCTGGCAGACGGAGCAGAGAGTAAAGGGAGGTACAAGGACGGGAGACAAATGCTTCCAGGTCTTGCCCACAGTGACCCTGCTCTTCCGACTGACCCCAACTCCTAAGAGCAAGTCAGGTATATTACGGGTGTCCCACAATCCACTTTCCAAAAGCTCCATCTATGAGTACTGGAAGCTCTTTTTTTCCCTCTGGTTTGGGGAATCGAACTCAGGACCTTACGCTTGTGAAGCAGGCGGCAGAGCCACTGAGCAAAATCTCTGACCCTGCGTACTTGAAGCTCTTGAGGGACATCTTGATTTACCAAGACACACAAGAAAATGAATTTTGAATTTTTTTTTCTCGAGACACAGTGTCACGATGTTGCCCAGGCTGGCCTCTAACTCTTGGGCTCAAGTGATCCTCCTGCCTGAGCTAGGACTACAAGTGTGTCCCATGGTGCCTGGCTCAGAAAGTTGATTTTAGTAGATCATCTGATATACCTTCCCAATTCACTAAGCAGAATAGCTAAGAGAAAGACTGAAGACATGAAAACCCTATTTATTTACCAGTTGGCAATGCACACACAAAGGAGGAGAGGTGTACTCTACTCCTTTCCTTTAAACAGCACATGCACCTGGGGCACTGTTGCAGGTATTGTGTTTCAGTACAGTTCTTGTGAGCTTCAGAAATCAGGCAAAGAGCACTGACCCTAAACACACAAATCCTGGGTCAGATCGCTTATAGTCAGTCAAATTCCACTTCTGCTTGCCAGGTGGAGGGCCTTAGGCAAGTTATCTCGCTACTCTGTGTCTCAGTTTCCTCATCTGTTAAAAGATGATAATCATACCAACTGCTTCATAGGATTATTGTACGCAATCAACATATATAACATATAGCTTAAAAAAGCACTTGACTCATCCTAAGTTCTGAAAAAGTGAAAGCTGTTATTATTCTGTAGGGACTAAAAAGGCAGCTTGCAATATACTATATATTTCTTTTGCAAAAAATTTAGAAAACAGCAACTTCAAGAAGGAAAAATATGGTCTATGATTTTATCACCAAAGAATAACTGTAGTTGACTTTGGACACTTACCACGTTGTTATATAATCTACTTGGTTTTGCCCTTAATACATGAATATCTTTAAAACATACTATATATTTTAAATGAAATCAATGTAGGCTGCTTCTAATTTTCTTATTATAAACAAATACTATGTACCAGAAACCATCCTAAGAACCATTTACATATTCTCATGGTAATATAGACCCTATGAAGTAGGGACAATTGTCAGTCCCTTTTCCAAACAGGACAGGGAGAAGGTGAATGATATGTACAAGGTCATGCATCTGACACAGGCCATCTGACTTCTTGTTCAATGAGTGATGTTCCATGGATATCCTTCTGCATACTCACTTGCCTTTCTGCTAACCTGTGTAAATTTCTAAAAGTAGAATTTGAAGCCAAAGATTACACTCAATGTTAATGCATATTCCATACACATAGGGATTTGGGGCTGGTACTAGCCTAAAGCAGTTTTTTGTGGTCCAGGAAGTGTTTGCCCCATCTACTTGGGTTTAGGTGTCAACAGAAATACTCTGATATAGCGTGGAAAACTATTTGGCTGTTGAAAGTTGTACTTGAGAAGTTAAGAGGAATTTCAAAGTAAGCACATCTAAGTCATCCTTATCTTTGTCCCTCATGGAAATTGTCTTTGATCGGCTGCCTGGCTCAGTTGGCTAGGATTCCAGAACTGAACAGGGAGATTGAACTTGATGGCCTTTAAGGTACTTGGTGATGCCAAATCCCAGTGACTAAGCTTCCTGCAGCAAAAGCATTTTCCCACCAAGCTCTGCCTGGTCGTGTCCAGAAGTTCTGGGGGTTTCCTGTTGGACAATACTGCTGGACTCTTGATAGGCATTGCTTTTCTTCATAATGCAACAGGCACAAGCACTCCGTGCATGTACGGTAAGCAGGGAATCGGAGAAGGAAAATGGAAACAAAAAGAGTGTGTGCCAAGACTAACAACTCATTTTTAAAACACTGCCTATAATTAGGTCTTCTAGGATATCATTATTTTTGCTTGCTTTGGGGATATGAGGGAGTCTCTGTGTCATAACATCCCAGGTCTCTGAGAAGGCAGCAAACCTGCCACCTACTAAGCTGTATTAAACCACTGTGAGCCACTGATTTAAGTAACCCCAAACCCTCTGTTACTTTGTCACTGCAAAACTATCCAATTAATTCAGGCTGAGCACGTATGTCCCCACCTCAAACAGAGCAGTAAATTACAAAGAGGAAAACAGAACCAGCTCCTACCCTCTCACGCCCTCTCCCCCCACAATACACACTGCACACACGGGGGGGGTGGCGGGCATTTACTGAAGCCAAGCACAGCTACCAAGGAGCAGCTGGAGTAGTGGACACAGGCAATTACCCCAGATGCTATTAAAGGAGCTGCTCTAAAGTGGATTCTGCAGAATTGACACTCAGCTGCGAAGAATTGGAGATGCAGCCAAGGAAGCCAAGAAATTCTTTCCAACTAAACAGGACTTTGCTTTTAATTTTTGCAATCTGCTCCCCTGAACCCCCATAAACACTTATCTCAGAAAAGGAATATTTGATCCAAAGATCAGCAGGTTG